ATACGGGAAAAGACAAAAACCACTATAACACTTGGCCATCTCCCAATCGCCTTCACCTTGTCGTGAACAATGTCCGTTTCGGTACAGACTCGGAGCGCCTTATCTGCCAGCAATCACCCCAAGCTTAGACTCCAGAATCCCTCCTCGCAATCCTCCTTTCGCTCCATTCGACATGGACAATACAAGCCAATCCACCCAATCCATATTCCCACTCTCTCCATGCAACACATACACTTACACAAACACACACACGGTGCATTCAGCACCAAGGTGATGCTAGACTTGAGAAGATTGGCCTACATCTCCGGCCTGCATATCACCGGTCACATAATGAGCGAACGATGTGCACCGTTGGCAAGCTCGTTGATCACCTCGTGCCAAAATAAGGAGTCGCTGAAGGAATGTGTACTCTTCACGACAACACGACAACAAGAGTGTATTTCGTCTCGTGTGGCAGCAGCACATCATACAGTAGAAGGCTTTCTGTGGGCCAAAAGATTTCCAAAAGCAGCTGTGCCGAGCCGCTTTGATGCCGACTTTTTCTCGATACGCTCGCAGACTCCTTGTCTCAATCCGCTAGTCAGTGTCTGGGTGGGCGGGAGTCGCAGGCGGCCCGGGCGGCTGCATGGCAGACTCACACGCCAGCGCCGTTCTGCAGAGCAGCGAGAGTCCACTTGCGCTGGAGCCAGTCAGGCGGGAGCGTCTGACCCTCCGGCAGCGTTCTAGCCCGCTTCAGGAGTCCGCGGCAGACGCGAATATGTCGAATCTGTGCTCTGCATTGGACGGGCTCGAGGCCCGTTTCGGGTTTCAGCGAGACCATGTCCGCGCGTGAGACGTGGAAGCAGCACTCCAGTCCGTTCCATTGCATTCAAGACCATTCCAGTCTATGCTAGTCGAGTCGAGTTAGGTTCAGTTCGGCCGGGACGGGACGGGGCGACAAGAGACGGAAAGAGAAATGTCCTTTTGGGGAGCGTGACCAAGTCAACTTTAAGCCAACCCCGAGACCAGCTCAGGCGACTTTGGCGGACAGGAACTCTTCTACATGCAATTGAGGCAGACTTGAATGTTTCGAGGGAAGAGGGTTGGAAGTTGACGCTTGCGTTTTAAGAGTTAAAAAATGAGGATTAAGGGTTGACGTTCGATGGTTGAGGGTTAAAAATTCAGCTTTGCGAGTTGAGGATTGAGGATTCTGAGTTGGATGTTGAGCGTTAACGATTGTTGGTTAAGGGTTGGGAGTTGTTGTTTGTAAGTTGGGGTTTGAGGGTTGAGTGTCGAGTGAAAAGGATTGTTGTGTTGATTGTTGAGGTGTTGAGGGTTGAAAGTTGAACAGCCAAGTTTCTAGGTTGAGGATTAAGGGTTCTGGATTGGATGTTGAGCGTTAATGAATGTTGGTTGTTTGGGAGTTTTTTGTAGGTTGGGGTTTAAGGGTTGAGTGTCGAATGTTAAGGATTGTGTGTTGATTGTTGAGGTGTTAAGGGTTGAAAGTTGAACAGCCACATTTCAAGGTTGAGGATTGAGGGTTCTGAAATGGATGTTGAGAGTTAATGAATATTGGTTAAGTGTTGGAAGTTATTGTTTGTAGGTTGGGGTTTGAAGGTTTTGTGTCGAATGTAAAGGATTGCGTGTTGATTGTTGAGGTGTTGAGGGTTGAGGGTTGAAAGTTGAACAGCCCAGTTTCTGGGTTGAGGTTTGATAGTTCTGGATTGTATGTTGAGCATTAATGAATGTTGGTTGAGGGTTGGGAGTTGTTGTTTGTAGGTTGGGGTTTGAGCGTTTTGTGTCGAGTGTAAAGGATTGTGTGTTGATCGTTGAGGTGTTGAGGCTTGAAGCGCCGAATCAGCTGGAGATGTGGCCACGACTGTCGTGGTTTGGCGCTGCAAACGAACCCATCCTTCTTTGCTACGAGGCGCTGGTATCTGGTTTGACCGGACGATGACACTGGTTCCCATGGCAATGGATCATACTAAAACGTTGCACACTTGACACCGACGAACATTTTACAGACTTGTGTTCAAAGATCCTTACGCACTCACGTCAGTGCACTGTCTGGCTGCCTGTGTGTGTGCGTGTATCAATTTCTGATTGGTTCCCGGCTGGTGACCGGGCATGCGCTGTGATGCATGCGTCTGGTGGTTTGGTGTGTGGCTGTCCTCTTCTCTTGCATGCGTCAAGATACCACAAGTGGCTGGACATGTCATTCTGAAGCGTAAGTTGTCATGACTTGCCAGCACCAGAAGCCGAAACAGGACCATTCTGGAAGGAAGAGTGTTGCAAGGTTGTGCAAAGACGGACGCGGTAGGATTGCAGTCTCCACTGACTGCACTCACAGACAATCCTGTCTCGAGATGACGTCACGCCGATTCACAGATTCCTTCTACGAAGATTCCGGCCAAGGAGATAATGACAATCCGTCATTTGCTCGTATCCACGAGGCAAATGAAGGTGCATTTTTGTCAAATCGTGATTTCTTGCAACGGGGCGAATTAGTGCAATGCCAAAGAGTTGTCCTGGCCCACCACATACTACTCATACTGCTCAGCATGTTGGCTCTCTGTCTCCGGATCGACCGACCGAGCTTTTCGGGTCACTTGGCGTTGTAGCTCTGTCCCACTCACCAGTTACAAGCGCACAAGAGAGTCTATCAAACAAACTACTCACACGGAAAATAAGTAACCTCGTCGGTTGTGATGGCGAAAACATGCATTCTCTTGCTCGAAAAGCCCCGGTTACATGTGATTTGGCTCGCCTTGAATGTCCATCCGGGAGGGGATTATCTTTTGTGCGTCTGTGGTGCAGCTCTGATCCCGTCTGCTCCTGAATCCTGGACGCGCCAGACCAAAGGTTAAGAGACCAGCAAATGTGACTGATTGGATGATGCAAAACCAGCTTTTTCCACCCAGATTGTACGCACCAAGAAAGGCAGACTAGTCATTTGTCATTGCAATCCACCATGCTACTTATTTTCCGAGTGAGTAGTATTCTAAACAATCGTTATTGCCCGACTGCTATCCTCGTGGTTAAATGGCAATATAGGGCACGACATGATTTCTAATCTGGTTGCCGCTTCTGATGTGAAGAGCCCAAAGCGCCGAACCCTCAGTCGAGTCAGGCAAGCCAAAGTGGCATGAAGTACCGTATTTCCCCATGTATAAGCCACCCCCCAATTTTTTGAGTGTGAAGTTTTGAAAAAATATTTTATTAGTGAAACAAGTTACAAAGAAAGAAAAGTTACAAACAAACAAA